TACTACCATGACCTTACTTTTACCAAATATTGTTATCCTAATCCATGTGTAAGGTACAATAATAAAACAAATACCTGTTTTTTTGTTTCGGGTGTTACATCGCCGAAGTAACAAGAAAACACACTTAAAACTGGATGATTATCAATTTTTTTGGGACTATGGCGCTATCTACCAATACTATGATAAATACCCTCAAATCATATAGTGGCAAAACGTTTCACAGATTGATACTTTTTTTTTAATCATATTACCAATAATTAGAGAGAAAATGATCATTCAGACTGTTGACTTAAGTATAGACTTTGAAGACTAATAACTTAAAAACTACTTGTTTCTTGCAGATTTTTTTTGTTGCACATTATAATTTGGAATGTTTACTTTCAAAATTCATCAGATTTAATGCGAAAAGAACATATTTAGTTTTTAACCCTCGGTAACATATGTCATGGAATGACCCAGATGTGAAGCTTAATGTGCCGTTGTCTGTCTGTATGTCTTACAGATAAGGTGCTTTGCGCGCGCCCATTCGTATTGTTAATTTACAATTAAGTAACACAATGCTGGTCCGTGCGAACATCGGCACACAGGTGGTTAAAGTAAGCCATTTCATGTAACTGCCCTCTGTTCTTCTTTTCCCCAGCCCTTTAAAAACTTATTCTAACCAGTACTCTATCCAACTAGTGGTAAATGTGTGGTTACTTAAATCCACGCTCTTTGGTTTTCGTCAATTTCAGTGACGTTAAATGCAGTTTTTACTGAAAATATGTTTGAAACTGAGAATTTATTGCGAGAAGGGTAAAGATTGTATACTGAATAACGTCTTTATTTGAAGGTTATGGTCTATAACGGAAACGTGAAATGAAACATATTTATTACTGAAAGTAGGTACTTATGTTTGAAAATTGAAATGTATCATTTATTGTAAAAAGGGTAAAGATATACTGATCGTCTATATTTGAAGTTTTCTTAGCTCACCTCATGTATTCCAAGAAGTAATGAACTCCTAATGAAGTCTTTCATTCAAAGTGTGCTGGCTCTTCTATACAATTTGTGACCGATACGTTAACTTGTATGAATCAACCATATACATTACAAGGTCGCCGTTTGCAAGCCTCTGACAAAATTTTTCCCACGATCACCTGAAAATTCACCTCAAAACCGAAAGGCGTAGAGTTGAAAATTCCATTGGCATTCAGCCAGATATTTGGTAAAAAATTCTGTTCTAGACTGAGATATCAGTCAGTGTCTGGATACCAGCGGATCGTGTTACTTTGTGTGTTACAGAAAATAAAAGTGATTGTGGATAATATGTTACATATTGCGGGTTAACTATCAGTGTATTTAGTTACAAACAGTGTGGATGTTATAATATGTGTATAATTGAGATGTTACGTTGGTTTTTAAGGCGCGATTGGAAAAGGTGTGGGTGATAACATTCTTTAACTTGAATCAAATGTAGAGTCAAGCTAGCACTCTGAAACTACGCCCAAAATTCTTGATCATAAATAGATTTTAGCATGAGATTGGTTGAATTTCAATATTTAGATCAGTCAGGCCTATAAATTCAAGTTCAAATAGTGATATTCGTGGAGTTTTCATGCTAACGAAGTAAATGTTTCTATTATTAAGAGGTCATTCTATACGACAGACACGAAAATAAACATTGTGATTTGTAATGCCAGAATTTAAATCTGGGGGCACGGCAGTGCCCCCACCAAGTCGAGCAAAAAAGCGGCACGGCCGTACCATCCTTTTCTCGAAGCAATTCAGGCCATTTTCGACTGCCTGTAACTTCGTTGTGGATAAAACTAGAAGGCTGAATTTTCATTAGCTATGCAGGCATTGTAAAGACACGGTATATTTAAAATTTCATTAAATTTGAACCAGTAGTTTAAGAATTATAACGGGTCAAAGTTACTTAATTTTGTCACTCACTGACTCACCGATCATCAAAACTCTAAGGCACTTCTAGCAGACCTAGAAGCTTCAAATTTGGAATATAAGTAGTGTTTGGTGTATTAATTAAGGAAAAACTAAAATATTTGGGGGCACGGTAGTGCAACCGCCAAGTCGAGTAAAATTTTTCAATTTCGGTCCAACGAAACGTTAAAGATTTCCTGGCCTGGACTTGGTATTACATGGATCTCACAACTTTTTACCGTAGAACAACTGAGTTGCGAGACTTGGTTTTTTTGACAAGTATTGTTTTTTGATGGGATATTCTTAACAATAACTATTCAAAATTTGGAGCTGGATCTGCTAGAAATACCTGAGAACTTAGAGTAGGCGCACACCGTTGATTTTTAGTTGGCCGATAGTTGTGCCCGATTTTAAATTGTATGAAGAATCGGCCAAATTGAATCGGCCAAGTGTGCGCACTCCCATACATGCCAACACTGATCAACTGCCCGACTAAATTATCGGCCGACGAAAAATCAACGGTGTGCGCCTACTCTTAATCGTGAGATAGGCTTGATGCAATAATATTATACACATGACACCAAAATGCTTTACTTCAATTTCAAAATTACATTAAAACAATAAAACAATAAAACAATCTCATTATAATTCAATACATACAATTAGCGTGTGTCCTTGGCGCATTCGGAATAATTCAAACATTCGGTTAATAGGACGGGTTTTTCCTAAGTAAAGTCAGCGCCAAATAGTTCGTGCCACCCAAAGTGGCCAAAAGTTGACAGCACAACCTTATTCCTAATGGAACAAAGACATGTTGCGAACTTTTTGGCTACTTAGCGTGTCACGAACTATTTGACGCTGACTTCTTCTTCTTTTCTTTTCGTGTCGACAACAAACCTACACAGTCTCAGCCCAAAACTCCGCCACAAGAGTGGCGTTGTTAGCAGCACTCATCAAATCTTCCTGAGTGCAGTTGCTCGGGCACTCAGGGCACGACATCAGGTGCTTCATCGACTAGGCAACAAAACCGCACCTGCTGACGCTGACTGTACATACAGCACATCAAGATAAACACAGTATCTTATACAGTTGTAAATAAGTGCTACTTTGCAACAAAAACGTAAAGGATACTGATGACTGTACATCAGTCAAAACCGGCTTCTGTAGAATTTTAATTTGTTATTGTGGTTTCATCATCGCATTCTTAACGCGATGCGCTTTTGATACGCATTTTAATTAAACCTCGATTTAGAGGTGACTGATTAAATGATGATGATTCTCTAACTAAAGTATATTGCACACTTATGAAGGGTGTTCCTTGCCATGTAATCATTAGGTTAGTGTTAGCATTTATAGCCGAAACCTTTTCATATGTTGTGTAAGACAGTTTATTCGTTTCTAGTATCTTCTTATAATAATGCTCTACGATAACCTCTGCTTACTTTGGGTCTAGATACTTCAGTATATCAATCCGACCTATCTCAATCGTATCTAAATGATCAGCATCGAAAATACCATCATGATATAACGTGATTCACTCACTCAAATTATATGTTCACCGTAATAAGATTACGGCAATTGCTTCAATCGAATAGAGACGCATCTGTTTGCTTGTTAGCGCCCGCGGTCACAGTCGTGGGACGAATTCGCGATCCTGGAGGTCTACTCCGAAACGCTGTTTACGTAGTTTAGATCTATCTGTCACCGTCGCACATGCTTCGCGTGAGAGTGATGGCAACATTCGAAACGTTTTTCAGAGTAACTCCGCAGTATAGAAGCGTGATTCACAATTAGTATGTCGTCGACGTATTGACTAGGACATGCAAAAATGTAAGTCGCGTGACCTTTTATCTGTGAGCTCCGCGTATTTGGTCTTATTGTTTACTTAGTCCGCTACCTGTTCAAAGTTAAATACATCATACATAGGTACCTATCCATCACTTACGAATTGTGTACATATTAATAGGCTTGAGTCATAAATAGCTCAAATTGTAAACATCATCCTGTTCATCATAAAAACAATAAAACTGCTTGAACTATACTCCTGTGTGTCCTTTCATAACATACTTTATTGACAGAAAGTAGAAATTTACAAAGCATTTATAGTAAAACGTAAGTAGATAGGTACTTTAAATACATAATTTTATATAATAAATGCTAATGTAGTTAACGCATCTGCATTAGTCTGTTTCTACTTCAACTTATCCTTCCATCTTCGCCCTTCATTCAGTTAAAAAGGATCCGGTTATTCTGGTTCATTTCAAAAGCTTTGTGGCCTTGTCTGGACTGGGAAGGGGCTGGAATAAACGGGAGCACGGAATAATCGGGGATTTCTTTATTTGTCAGTCGTTGTTGGTGCAGAGACGTCGAGAGATGTGGCGAAATATTGCACTATCAGTACTCAAGTTGTTTGGGCTCGTTCCCACGAATTACAAATTAGAACGGATCGGTTTTTTGCAGTATCCCGCAAACGGGATGTGCGTGTGAACGTTAATCATCATCATCATCATCTCAGCCAGCCATAGGACGTCCACTGCTAAACATAGGCCTCCCCCAATGCTTTTCCATTTTGCGTGGTTGGTAGCGCCCTGCGTCCAGCGCCTTCCTGCTACCTTCACGATGTTGTCGAACGTTTATATTAACACGTAATCTACTAAACTGGATCCTGCAAAAAACGTGATGTCTCTTCTGTCTCAATGTGGAAAAGCCCTTACGCGCTAGTTAGTACAATAAATTAATAAATTAACGACATTTGTAACGGCAATCTACGAGTAAATTATGAAATTGAGTGAACAATTTATGATCAAGAATTTTGTCTCCCACATTCCAATAAACCACTACAAATAATTTAAAAGTTCAGAGATCTATTAAACCAATGTTATCATCGTCAGTTACACCAACGATCTCAATGTACACTTCCTATTACAGCGTTCACGAGTGTAGTGTCGTAGGTGCCCGCAATCACTGCGCGTGCGCACACCGCGGGATTGAGTGAATTTGAGTGACAAATCAGTGCGCTAATAGTGACGTGTGAAACGGAGTGATGAGAGTGAAAAGGCGTTGTAAAGGGAAATTGCATCATATGCTCCAATATTTCAGGTGACTTATTGAGTATTTGTGTAACCTGTAAAATACCATAACTTCGAACTCCTCCTATGTTCTTCTGATTAATCCGTTGCGGGTCCAATGACAGTTTAACTTTCCCCCGGAACAAACTTGACCTTCACTGGTTGGGTTTTTATTGGCGGTCAAGCTGCAGATCCTGGCTACACAGGAGTCGCAGCGGTGGGAACGAGAGGTGGGAATAGTCCCGTAATTCAAACAGTTCATCGTGTGGAATGTAAATGACGTCACACATCTTGTGTCAGGCTTTATGAGCCGCCATAGAAGTCTGACATTGTTCAATCGTCGGTCGGACGTGTATTGAATCATAATATGTATTTATTTTCGAACAGTGCGGTTGATTCATGCCTGTTATTTCCTAACAAAACGAGGGAAAATTTACAGAAAAAATGTTTTCAATTTGTCAATGCCATCTCGTAATTGTCTTGGAACAGTCACTCACATCACCAATAAAATTTTTTTGCTATGTAATTATTCTAATTATATTCTTTTAATTCACATGCACTAAATGCGCAAAATAAATCTTATTATTTGGTAATGCATTCGCGGTTGTAAACTAATTATTTATTTCCTTATTAATTGCATCTTTTTTATCCTCCTGCTGAAGTAATTGGCATTTCCCTGTTCAAAATCGATTTAGAAATATGATAGGTATAGTGTTTTCCTACAGTTAATAATAACAGTCTGGAATGTCTGGATATCAATTATTTGTATCATTATTTTCTATCACTCTTATTTCATTTTCAAATAAATAAACTCGTTTAAAATCGTCTACAATTACGTAAAAAGAAATACTTTTATTGGTATTTTTAACGGCAAAGTGTAACCGCAGTGCCACAAACGTACAACAGCATTGATCTTGACATTATAGAGGAAATGCGGATCATTGCGGCAGTCGGTTGTTATTTTATTACACTTCAGTGCAAAATTACGGGAACACAGTGCAAAATTACAGGAACAATACATTGGCTGGGTTGCACCATCTTTCTTTAACCGTAACTATAACATTAAGCGGTGTTTTCTGTATGGAGTTTGACTTTGAACGTTTGTTATAGTTAAAGTAAGCTAGTGCAGCAACTCAGCAGTATACTTACTCCATAAGAGACAATTTACTAGAACTCCATTTTTGCTCTTGCAGAAGCAGCTTACAATAATTTCACTGGTTGAACGAGATCTGTAAACCCATGTTCGCAAATAAAAATGATTTGAGTGAGTAAGTGGAAGTTCAACACAGTACTTGATGGCACTTAAATTAGAGACTGAAATAGGTGGTCATTTGGTTAATGATTCAAATCTGTCAATCGTTATAAAATCATTATAAAAGGAATGTTATCTAACAATTGATAAGATCCTTAAGATTAGATAAGATAATTTTAGTGTCAACTAATCAATTGCCACATTATACTATCAGTTTTAAACCGTGTTTCTTTGACCTGTAGTGTAATTTGTTTAATAAGGGCCGGTTTCTGTTGACCGCAAGGAATGTGAGATACGAGTAATTGATTTCTCACAGCTGATGACTCCATTATGATTATATCAATTAGTTGTAACCACGTAAGCACATAAGTGTTGTTGTTACCTACGTTTGAAGTACTGAGGAAATAACATCCTGCCACAAATGTTTTAATTAACGGTTTTAATGACTATCGACAAATAGTTTTAAATCTCTGATATTGCTTTACTACGAGGGCGGCACTGAAAATTTCGGGAATCAAGGAAGTGAAACAACATTACTATTTAAAAATGTATTTATTGCTTTTTAAAGTATTCTCCGCGAAATTTGACACATTTTTCCATACACGAAACCAATCATTGAAGCAACCATTGCATTCGGAAGTTTGGGTCTCCAAAATGGCCGTTTTGTAGGCTTCCACAGCTTCTTCAGGTGATGAAAATCTCTGACCACGCAATTTATTCTTTATTTAAGGGAAAGTATAGAAATCATTAGGGCTTAGGTCGAGGCTGTACGGCGGATGGACTAATAATTCTATGTTTTCTTGCTCTAAAAACTCCTTTGTTCAGTGCGCGGTGTGAGAACTCGCATTGTCGTGATGGAGGATGATGCGGCGGTTGCAGTTCTCTTTACGGAGTTCAGAAACGACCTGTGGCAAACAAATGCTAGCATACTAATCTGCATTAACCGTTCTTTGTCCCCCAAGAGGAATAGTCGCAACATGGCCGGTTTTGGAGACAAACGTGGCCACCATTTTTTTTGCAACACTCCGTGAACGAACAATTTTTGTTGGCTTTAATTCATTTTCGAACACCCAAACTCGTGACTGGTTTTTTGTTTCGGGTTCGTACGCGTATATCCATGATTCGTCACCTGATACGATGTTGTATACAGCATTTGAGGATCCTGCATGTAATCTCCCGAGAGTTCTGACGCACCAAGTAACGCGAGCCGCTTTTTGCTCTTCACAGAGCGAATGCGGTATCCATCGGGAAAACAACTTTTTTACACCTAATTGTTCATGCAAGATTATTTGTATTTGACTCATGCCAATGTCTAAAGTTGCCTGAATTTCGCGGTATATCACATGTCGATCTTCTTCAATCAGCTTACGCACAGCATCAACGTTTTCTTAGGTGACTGCAGTTTTTGGACGACCTTGACGGGGATCATCACTGAGCTTGACACGTCCACGTTGAAATTCAGGAAACTAGCGATAAATTGTGGTTTTGGATGGGGCTTCATTACCAAATGCAGAAATCATCCGGTCAACACACTGTTTTTGTGTTAAACCACTTCAAAAGTCATAATAAATCATCGCTCTTGAATTTTCTCGAGTCAATTCCATTTTCTCAACGACTAAACAAGTTTGACAAGACCTTGTGATACGACCGAGAATCTTTTTTTAAATAAATAAATGGTATACGATTTTTAAAACCCTGGACTTTGCAATTAAATAGATTTTAATATGACTGGAACAGTGGAAATATTCCATTCCCGATACTTTTAGTGCAGCCCTCGTATCTATTTCTGTTATCAGATTTAATTGTTGTCTGTGCTAACGATTCTTTGTAAATTTACTTTACTAATGTCTTAAAAGTGAAAAAAAAAAAGATTTTTATAAGAAAAGTTAAATAAAAAAAAATTAGCTTTCATTAATACGATTTTGCAACAAAAATGAAGGTAAAGTCGGATCTGGAAGATGTATTATGGTGTTCTAAAGATACCTTACCCTACCCTACAATACAATGGTATCTTATCAAATAGAGACTAGCTAATGATGATAAACAAGAGTTCTAAAATCAAACACTATCTAAATGAGATGGGGAGACCGAGGGAATTGCGAGCTCGCTGATAGAGTTAATAGGTTGCCAAAAATCGACAATGTCCTTACGCTCTTCGGGGTTCCTCTATGGAGTCTATGGTTTTATTTTTTGTCCTATTTTAATTTATTAATCTCAATGTCTTCATCGGTTATTCTACTTGCTCTTAATCCTCAATGAGCATTTTAAACAGGTGTTCTTAGCGTCGAAAAATGTCGTTATCAGTTGGTTTGTTTACGAAGTCTTCGCGACAGTAAACGGTGACGTCACGCTTTGTCAAAGCCAAGTCAAGGTTGCGAATGCGAACGGTGTAATTATCGGAAGATAAATTTACCTAGATGACTTCATGGTAGCATCTTCGCGAGTGTACTTAGCGATAGGGCTGGGTCTTACTCTAGGATCTATCTTTTTTACCTACTTAAAAAAAACTTTGTTTCATTATAATAATTTTTCATGGCGATAATTTTCTCCAAATATCTCGGGAACGTGACACCTTTAAGGTACCATAATGTACTGTTTGTTCAAATAACCTCGGTATCGCTTTCATCTTGAAAAAATTGCGGGAATGTTGCGGTGGTTGCGGGATATGCCAGTTTTCAAACGTCATTAAAGTCACTATTTTTGAAATTTTATAATAAAGATCTTCGTAGATTATTTTCTATATTGTTTTCAGCTGTAAAGAAACTGATTAACGGGTAACTAAGAAAGAAGTACCTACTTAAACTTTCACGTTGAAACATAAAAAATAAGAAACCTAAATTAAATAACTTGATGTCAAATAAATATTAGAGAGTTGACAACCCTATCTGCACATTCGTTTGCTTTTTCATTTACCTCTTGATATAAAACTTGTATGATATTGCTCACGCGAGCACCGCAGGGTTATTAGATGAGCATATGTATGGCTATGTAACGATGTTTGCAAGGTTGTTTGGAGTAAAGGATTTTATCTTTTTGCCTTCGTTTTGTGCGTCTAATAAGTATTTCAAATATGTGTAAGCCTCTTTTTCTAATCTTAGAGATTAATATCGGCGTATCTTTTACCCAAGATAACTTTAAATATCGTTTTCAGATCACCTCACTAATCCTTCAAGCCTCGCGAATCGAGCCTCAATAGATTTTAATTGTTACGGGGTTTTATGCGACTGCCGAGGTTTGATGGGCTAAATGCTCAAATGGCAATGACAAAAAGTACATCTTTTTTCAGTCGAAACACTTAAGTCAAAATTAATTTATTTTCAGGCTTTTGAAAAGTACTTATACACTATCACTGCTACAGACAGGATAAGATAATTTGACATACCAAGATTTACGTTTTATTTTCACGACGAACAAATACATTGAGTATGTCAACACATCGTCCTTATTACTATTTATTTATTCACAATGCGACTTACATACTTACCTGCTGATGAACATTTTTACCCAATGAGGTAACCCGATGATCGGCTGACGTCATGGACCGTCATTCGTTTGAGAATGACTTAATTGCGACTTAATTATCGATATCAATCGGAAGAATCCACCTGTTTAATAATACAAGCCTATCGACTAAGGAAAAAAAAAGCAGTTTTGCACTTTGTGCGATTAAATCCGTGAAAATACGGTCCGGATCGTAGAGCTATTTGTATGGTTTACGGACTAGTGACCGATTTACGACATCCTATTATTCGATTTCTATGGATTTTGACGGATTCGAATCGGACGTGGTACTCTAGCAATTTGTCCTGAATTTTCAGCGAGCGATCTTTTCAAGCGAGGAAAACCGTATCATATAGGAATTGCAGTTGTAGTTTAAATGTCTGCAACAACTGACAGACATTATGTATATTTACGCCTTGATATGCCTCACATACGTTAAATTACAAATCTTTAAAACAGACGTTTGCAATAGCATTCTTGCATAAATAAAATATAATCTAATAAAAAGTGATTTATCTGAGAGCAGTATAAAGTTCAAGGTATTGCACCAAATTCACATTCTTAAAACTCAAGTACGTATTTGGAAATATTAATGCATGATGATAAACACATGCATATTTATCGACGCATCTATTGCGTAAGTTTCCTTTGACAGACCTTGCAAATATTTTATGTGTAACACGAATTTGTTAAACAAAATAAACTTTTGCTTCGTCAGTTAATGCCATCTGTTGGCGCAATTGAGAACTACTTAGTAATACAGCGCCATCTCTCGGCAAAAATGAAAATTTCTTCGTAACACAATTTTGAAAGTACTCTCTTTTGTTTCAGAGGGGCGGTGTGTGAGTGCCGCACCGCCATGTCGCATCACAGCGATGAGCAGGCGCTGCTCACGGTGGCCTCCGACTCCTTCTGGGAGCCAGGAAACTACAAAAGGACCACCAGAAGGGTGGACGACGGCCACAGACTATGCGGCGAACTACAGACCCTAGTGCAGGAGAGAGCAGACATAGAGAAAACGTACGCGAAAAGTTTGCGAGGCTGGGCGAAGAAATGGAACGATCTAATTGAGAAAGGTCAGTTGATTTGTTACTATAGCGTTGGAAATTCATCTGGTAGAAAAACACGTAATCTATAATCTTTATAGGTATTTCAAAAAACATTATTTCTTATCAGGGAACAACCAGGTTTTTCTTCTGTCGAAGTCTTAATCAAGTATTAGTGGTTAGTTTCTATCGACAGGGATGTAGCAGTTTGGGCATATTCTGATTTCCGACAGTTCTCCGCCCTTCAAAAGATGGTGCTGTCTGTAACTTGGATCACATTGGCGTGTACATAATTATTTAGACACGCGAATAGAGTTGGTTTTTTATATTTTAGTAGGTACATATTTATTTAGTTACAAATTGACTTGTTACGAACGTATTTGCGGTTGAATAATTGCAATTGAACGTGGTAATTAATATTTCAAACATCTATTCCGGTTTCCGGTCTGATTTAAGCCACAGTAATTTGAGTTACCTACATAACCTCAGTTGTCGTTTCAACCGAAGAAAATTTACTGCTGGACAGAGGCCTCCCCCAAGGATTTCCACAGCGTCTCAAGAACTTTTCTAGGGCTAGGTATCAATTCTACTAAAATCATCATTCTAATGCTATAGCGTGTTGTATCGGAATTTTAATACAGGAAATAAGCATGAAAGCTTTTCACACTTTCACATTTTCATCTCAGCTTCACACAAACGTAAATACTGATGCAACGCTTAGAACACCCTGTACCGCTAACGTATAACGTCTCTCTTAGCGGATGTTTATTCACAATGTTTGATTGGTAAAAGGCCCGCCTTTTGTATGTCACTATCGACGCTTATGAAAGGGTATTTGAATATTTATGTACTGATAGCACATCAAGCTTGACATTGTGGGACTTTAGGGCGTTGTAATAAATGCTGGTTTAGAATAAAAATGTAGAGTCTGGTGTGCTGTTGATAGCTTGATGAGGACCGAGACGAGTCATGTTTGGTGCATTCTTGAGCCAAATAAGTTGATTAGTTTATGATTAGATGATTGTTGATATAATACGTAGTACATAGTAGACATCGTCTTAAGGATATTGAGATTAGTTAACTCTAGACGCCACCATAGTATGCCCTTATGGTGGGTTTTAAGTGGTTGTAGCGCAAGCTGTTTTTTTATGCAGAACGAGGCAGGTATTTGACCGCAATCGCACCTGATGTTATGTGAGATGCTGTATAGAATGTTGCATAATTATCTGCCCTGTAAGTGCTTATTCACTCTCACCTTGAAAAGTTTGGGACGTGTATAGATGCCCTGAAAAGGTCCTCTGAAATTCATTATTTCAGTTGTTATGAACAAAAAAATCATTAAACTAAACTAGAAGCTTATTAAGTATTTCACTCTATTCCTATTTTAACAGAAAACGCACATTTTCTATTACAAAAATAACTGTAGCAAGAAAGCAGCTATTATTGTATAAATAAGTATGATTACAAGTATTTACACTACAGCAATAATACCTAACACACCGTGTCACCGATCGCCTACGAGGAAATCAGAAATTGTTCGCGGAGTACAGTCAACAACGTATCATACTGCATTCTTCTTGTAAAATAACACCTATGACCACTACATGAGATCGTCACAACTGGATAGTCTGCGTCAATAGTTCGTGACACCCAAAGTTGACAACACAACCTTATTTCAATAGGCTAGTTTTCCTAAAAAAACAAAAATATTGGACAGGATATTTTTATTTGTCAATCAAATTATGGTGCGTTGAAGTTACGCGTGACTTCACAAAATGTTACACACATTTAACCATTAACCACGCCTTGTCGTCACGGGCTTAGTATTATGAACTTTGGCGTCCTTTATCTCTTCTAATGTTCATTAGTTTGAAAAAGTGAAAAATACGTGTCGACTATTTTGTTGATAAGTTAACTGACGGACTCATTCAAACTCTTGCTTTTTTACCCAGGAAACATCCCTATTGTAATTAAGACGTGTTGTGAGCTTTTTCTTTACATTTATATTTGACCGCAATCGCACCTGGTGTTAAGCGAGATTAACTTATTGGCTACTTTGGGTGTCACGAAGTATTTGACGCTGACTGTACTGCGCGTGCGCACCGCGTAATGCATTTACACCTTGCGCTTGTGTAAACGGTTACGTAAAGGCCGCCTTTAGTGTTGCCACGCGCAAAAATGCAGGAAACATTTCAGTATGATGGGCGTGGTGCTATTTGTTGTGACATTTATTATGTCATTCATGTTCTTTGGTAAACCTGTATGTTTATACCAGCTTTTGGCAGCGGATTTATCCACGTGAATTCTGTCTAAAACCTGTTCCAAAAATTATCGTAACCAAATGAAACCAAATCTCTACCTTTCATTTAAATCAATTTAGTGGTTTAAGAAAGAGAAAACAAACATCCATCCATCGTAAGTACTCAGTCTCACAGACTTTTGCATATTTGTAATAGCCTGAAAATGTATTCACAAACATTACTACGAGGTCTCACAGTGCACGTGGACGCACAGGGTCACACATGAACCAATCACAGAGCTATATTCAACGCTGTGCGTTCGATTTGCTGCTTCACTTAAGCAAGCATCGTTTGTAAATACAGGCGTTAAAGTTGCTGTTTGCTACCTATAAATAAAACTGTAACAAAGTTTAACTTAACAAGTAAATAACTTTCTGTTAAATATAACGTTAATATAACACTTAATTACGGTACTTGTGTATTTGTGTTAGTTTTACCACCAATACTAATTACTGTAATCATTATAACACGTGATAGTATTAATAGAAATAGGTTTTTATTGGCTATTGTTCTTAGATATAATCTATCATTTCTTTCCACGTTAATGTATAGTGGCTTTTGACGAGAATGGGTATTTAATATTTATCACTATTAAAGGTGAGTCATGACTTAAATTAACATATTTTCTTAAACGTCCATCCTTAGTAGGTACCTAATATTGTAAATGCAAATGAAGCTGTCTTTCTCTCTGTTACCTTTTGACATTTAAACCACTGAACCAATTTAGATAAAATTTAGTGTAGAGTAGAGATAGTCTAAACCCCAGAGAAAACCTAATTTTTATCCCGGTTTGCGGAAGGAAGTCTCACGCACTGTTTCTGTCATAGACCGAAAGCAAAGCCGAGCAAAGCCGCGGACAAAAACCAGTGCTGAATAAATCAGTGCACAGAAAGAATCAGATTAAAGTTTACAGACAAGCATCATTTTTATAAGATTTATTATAACACACATGCCTACGAGCAAAATACATGTTTTTCTCCAAATTCACGTGGTAAATGTAGTGATTACTAAATTAGTACACAGCGTAGATTAAGTGAAAGATAATCTCTTTGAAAATCAGATTAAAGCAAAATTTGTATGAGATTTATAGTAAGATGCCACGTTGATGTATTTATTGATCACGAACAAAATAATGATTTTAGGTAAGGCATAAACAAGACAAACAAGATTCGAAAACTCAAGAATGTATTTCATTATTTAGTTCTGCGTGAACAAACATTACTACTTTTCTCGAATTCACTTGTTACAGTAATTCATCAGTTGTGCAATCGAGCGCATTCCGAATTCGAGCGCGCGACGAAATCGAAAGTTTTTATCGAGTCGACTCGATTATTCGATGCACGGCGGTCGTTTGTCACCGAGACATGTGTGGACTGGGCGGCAATACAAAGTAGAGGTTTTTTACGCGAAAACAATGAAAATGAAAGCTTTCGATTACGGAATCGATTTGTAAGCGATTACGATACATGTTCGTTAATTTTCTCCGTGGCTGAGTGAGTGGTGAGAGAAAGGGACTAAGTTTGTTGTGGATTCGATTCTCAGATAAATCACCAGTTTGGTTAGGTTAGGACATTGCTGTCATGAATGAACCCTATTATCCAGAAAATGTTATTCCGTGCTACAAAGGCCACATCAACCTGTCTGTTGTTCCATTAAAGTCGAACTATGGTTCTTATGTCTGGAAGCGGAGAGAGCCAGTTCCTCTGTGGTTGAGGATTCCGGGTGAAGCTCGCTTTTATCTTCGGTCTGATCATCACTTACCATCAGGTGAGATACAGGCCAAGAGTTTCATCGTTGTGGTTAAAAAAAAGAATCATCACAACATTCATCAAATATTACTGAAAAATGCATTTTTTTCATACTGCTCCTGTTCATTACACTTACATTATCTCGTTGGATTCGAACCTGCGACCGCAAAACCGGCATTCCACCGGAGCCTTCAGTAGTAATTAAAGTTATTTGTCATAACCGGCTCGAAGACCTTTAGCCGGTGTCGTAACGGCCACGCAAGAGGTGCCATAGCGATTGGCGACCTGAAATCGATCAACACTTTCGATGCAGGCGCACGCTCACGTACTCGTAGCTTTGGACGCGTGCGCATCGGAATGGAAACTATGGTACAGTTAGCGTCAAACAGTGACATCTAAAGTGGCCAAAAAGTTGACAACACAACCTTATTCTAATTGTAACAATGACGTGTTGCGATCTGTTTGGTTACTTTGGGTGTCACGAAATATTTGACCGCACATCAGAATACACATTTTTGGCAAAATAGCATCAATTACAAGAACTTAAGATAGCCGCAGCATTTAACTTGATGATACACTGTAAATTAGATGTTGTTTCCTCACCAGCCAAATAGTTTTGACCTTTCCAACCCCTTGCCAGACGATCATTAGTTTTTAGTAGCTTTTTTTTCGTCAGGGAAATACATTTATTTGTATACCCACCAGCCGCGGGGGCACCTAGTGGGTTATGTGGGGTTCTCCCTGCCAGAAGGGCAGGGTCTACCCACTAAAAACCTGACGTTGCCCTCGATAGCCATATGAGTCGGGAACGCGGGACATCACTATCGGCGTTTTGCCTCAAGCATTCGTCGCCAAAGCCACGATGACCCAAACTTCATGATGCACCAACGTACCTATATGTTGGGAGCATGCGCTGACAAACTTTCAGCTTTCTTAAAATAACGCAGGCCTGGCGTTCACATTAATATTTCGTTGGTATGTA